CACCAACAACAAAAAACAAGCTTTGAGGAGGTGAGTGTATTTCATATAGCAATGTTTTTAAAATCCTTATGGTATAGCCATAAAGATTTTAGGCAGCCGTCTTCAAAAGACCAAGAAAAATCGGTTAGCTATGGCACCTGTTGTGAAAGGAGCTATGTCGTAAATAGATCCGTTCTTTGGAATTTATAAATCATAAAAAAGTTTGGCTAGTACTAGATTTTTTTGACCTCTTTGTATATATATAGGCTATAATCATTATTAATAAAATGTTTATAAATGCCACACAGGAATGCTAAATCTGTTTAAATTGTTGTGGTGACCCGAGGCGTTCATTTACGGTAAGAGCAATGTGATATTTGAAGTACTACTTGTGAATAGTATGGCCCATGTGAGTTATGACTTGTCACTCCAGTCTCCAGGGGGCAGATGGCAGGCTACAAGCCCGCACTCTGAGCTGTTCGCCTGGCTGTCCGTGGGAACGCAAGCGGCTGGAGTTTTGCGGGGACGTCAGTCAGCCTAAAATGCCTTGATATATTTTTTTCTGACCTACCGATACTATAATAAACGATAATGGGTCCGGAAAGTATGGTTTAGAAATGCCTTTGCGCACGGCGAATGTGTCCGGTCTGTCTCCAACCAACGGGGCAGAAGAGACGGAGCTGTTCGTATAGGGTTACCCAAAGGCTGAGTGCGATCCGTGGAGGTAACGGCGAGGCGTTTTGCGTTCATAGCTTAACAAGACTGTACGGTATTCTTGAAAACAAGGGGTTTGTTCTTGATCAGAAGCTGTTTGGCTGGTATTGAGGCAAGTGAAGTTTTCTGTGCTTATGGTGAACTATCACTGTGAAAGCTCAGTTCATTTCTGGTGTATTTGAATCATTATTGAGTGCCATTGAGAGTTTAGTTTTCACAGACACCAAAGAAACCACAAGAAACTGAATCTGAAGCTTTTTCTAGCTGTGAAAGATAGCTGAGTTGATAGGCTATTGCAATAATATTGCATTTTGTTTCTTAGCTTGACACTGAATCACCTGAATTAACACTCAAGTATACCTAAAATGCTTCATTGTGGTAACACTAACAGTGAGTGTATTTATGAAAATTTAAAATATTTTAAAACATATTTTTTTGGTATGACTGAATCAACCAGACTACTAGGTTTCATTCAACAGATGTTGTTTTTAAGTCACAAACTGCATATTTCCACTTTATTTAATTTTTAATATAGCCTATACAGTCATAATCAGGATCTTATAATGCAGTTGTCATTCTGAAGATATTACACGCTTCATGGTGCATTATTTTGCTTTAGTTATCTTCATTGTCTCTTTAAGTGGGTCTTTCTTACCCTTGACTTCACATGCACATGTTTTATGTTAAGGTATGTGAACCATGACGGAAGGGTTAAACTGTATTTTTGATGTGTTGTTGTGGACACTCTGTGTTAAGTGCAAAGGCTCCCTGGAGCAGCTCTGACATTTCTCAGATGCATCCACAATGTCAGATCTTATCCTCCCTCTGTATCTCTTCTACATCTTTTGAAGACCATTCATAATGTTTTTACATTTCCACAAATCAGCTTCCATCTGCATTCTCAGTGACCTTGTGAAGGTCGTATAATTGTGTCTTGGATGCCATCGTGTCTTTGACTGTCAGATTTTCACTCCCTGACTCTGAACTATTAGACTGAATCTCTTTTATTACTTTGAGGACGAGTACAACAGTTGACCTTGTGAAGGTGCATTCTTGTTGTGGCTCATTATCGTCACAGTCCCATGTGTTTCTGTTTGCGGACATTTAAGGAACTGGCTAATATGTGTTGGTGCGGTCTGTCACCGAAATGGCAATGAACCATATTTAAGAGGTCCTGGAACAGTTCCAGGAGCAGATGTGTGAAACCAAAAAGCCAAGATAGCACCTGCCACTCATGACATGTGAAAGCCTCACACCTTTTCCTGTACCGGCCGATGTGTCGGTCCCACGAGTCAGACCAGCTAAAAGGTTTCTTGGAAGAATCCATTTATATAGCATCATATGTTATTTGTCATGCCAACAATGGCTGTCACTTCCTTTCAGTATCTCACTCTTTCACTATCTCCTTTCTTTTTGAAACTATAGTCCTTGCCACACTGAAGGCATTGACTGCATTTTCACTCAATATCAATTTGCATCAGCATTCACACACTGCCTGTGAATTAGATATGGGTCAGATTAGGATTTAGGTTTGTCAAGGTTACTCTTGCAACCTCAGAATAACGTACTTCAGAATCTGTTACCAAAGCAACAACATATGGTACAATTTGGCCTTGGTTATTTGTAATTTGCATGTTTTAGCAAGTAAATGGCAAGAAATCGAGGGTCATTTGAACTGACAACATTTTTTCAAATGACTTTATGTTGGATTTTAAAAATGCATTGTTAAAATATTCCATGTACTTCTATTTTGCATTTATATTTAGCTTAACCCCATAAGTGTCACCACCCTTTTTTGAGCGTTGACATGAAAATGCACTACCCAAACTTAAATGGTTGTAATTCATAAACCCTTTGGACTAAAGACTTACGGTTGGTCTCTTTTAAAAGAAGACACTTGGAAGATTATTGCTGAATTGGAATAAAATAATAATATATATTTTAATATATATATATATATATATATATATATATATATATATATATATATATATATATATATATATTTTTTTTTTTAAATAAATATGCTGAATTTTCAGCATCATCTTCAGTGTCACATGATCCGTCAGAAATCATTTTAATATGTTGATTTGGTGCTCAAGTGATATTTCTTATTGTTGTATGTTGAAATATAGTTGTGCGGTTTAATATTTTTTTGTGTGTTTCCAGGATTCTTTGATGAATGGAAAGTTCAAAAGAATAGCATTATTTAATAGACTGTTTTTTGTAACAATGTAAATGTTGTTACTGTCAATTTTGAATAATTTGATGCAACTTTTGAACGGTAGTGTATGTTAGAATCCACCACAGGTCAAATTTTAAAAGCCAACTAAATGACTCATCAATGGCTCCTTAAAATATTCATGTGTTGCTGACCTTATCTGAGCCTAGTATCAATCAAACTGCACCCAAACCTGCCTTTAGCTAAAGCCCTTTTAATATCTATGTAAATTACAGTATCACAGAAGAACCCAATTGCACAGCTAGGATTCGCCCTTGGTGAGCATCAACACAAATTAGCTGCTCTAACCCCTCTGCCAACTCATGATTTACCCTAGTTCATTTACATCAAACTCTCTTGACAAAGGCTCTCTGCGTGTCTCAGAGCGGATTCCCTATTATAATTTTAGAAAAGCGTAAGCTGGCTGGTATTTTAGATGTGTCTATAGATTTACAAAAACTCTCTCATGCAGGTCAGTGCTTCATTTTATTAGCATCACAGGGGCTAAAATGATTGAAACAGACCAGACACTCGAGATGCATTCGACCGTTTGCTTGATGCACTGACGGTGAATTAAAACACTTTAAGGAGTCGTTCACTTTTAAATAAACTTTTGCTGATAATTTACTCACCCTTACTCACATAATTTTTTCTCCATATAATGCACTTTACTGGTAACCAAACGGTTCAAGGTCTAAAGGACAGTTTCAGCGCAAACTACAAACGATTCCAGATGATGAATAAGGGTCTTATCAAGCGAAACGATCGCCCATGTTGAAAAAAAAAATAACAAAGTTTTATAAACTCAAATGGTCGCCTTGACCGTGACTCTCCTGTTCGAACTCGTTCATCAAAATGAATGAATCTTTACCGAGTCAGTTCGTTCATTTCATTCCTTGAATGAACCAAATGACATGAGAAAAAAAGTTTCTTTGATTTTGATAAACGAGTTCGAACAGGAGAGTCACGAACGCGCCTCACAGAACAGAGCAAGGCGACCATTCGAGCTTATAAAACTTAAACTCTAAACTACTGTAGCGATTGTTTCGCTTGATAACACCCTTATTCATCGACTGGAATCATTTAAAACCCTTTGAACAGTTTGCAGTTTGCACTGAAACTGTGTTTTGGACCTTGAACCGTTTGGTTCCCACTGAAGTCCATTATATGGAGAAAAATCCTGGAATGTTTTCATCAAAAACCTTAATTTCTTTTTCGACTGAAGAAAGAAAGACATGGACATCTTGGATGACATGGGGGTGAGTAAATGATCAGCAAAAGTTTTTTTTTAAAAGTGAACTACTCCTTTAAGAAAACAAAAAACTAAATCCTGTGGGAAATGTCTCATCTTTTGACAGGCTCTTGGAAACAGATCCATAGCTTTCAGTTCATAAACGTCCGTTCCACAAAATTATATGGACAACTTATCGATGTTGGCACTGTCATTGTTTTAATAAAATAAAGACTTATTGTGCTCACAGGAAAGAAAAGAAAAAGAAAAAAATCAATGGCTTAAACGAATTAGCCCTCAGACACACAGTTTCAGTGGAGCCCAAAGATAAAAGACCACTTTAAAAAATAACAAAAAAATGCTTCAATTTAGAAATATGTATTAATTTAAACTAACCAACATAATAATTGAAGTGAAAACATGCATAAACCTTAAGACATATGTCATTTCATGGTTATGAATGTGTCATGTCAGTCCTATGCAAACCCCTTCAAGTAAAGTGTTACCGAAAAATTTAATGAATCAAAGCTCATCACAAGTAGCTTTTCCACAAGCTGAGGTAAATGCTCATATAAAGTGTGTTTGTACATGTGGGCATTTATGTATTTGAATGTTATCCCTAAAAATAATCTTGATTGAAAAAAAAAACTCAGTTGTAAATTTACTCTCCATTCACACCACTGTATTATTCCCTGAGGAGCCTGTTCACCTGTGCTCTATCATTCTTTCTAGGTCTAGTCACTTTCTTTCAACAACAGACAAGATCATAACTCACTTTAGGAGGGTTTGTGTGGCTGCAGGCACAGGGGTTGCATGTTCATCGATTCATCTCAGTTGTTTGTTGTTCCTTTGAAGGGTGAAGATGCCTTTTCACCATGTGAAAGCAGGGCTGCTCTACACAGACAACTTCCTGACAACCTCTCTCTCTGAAACCAGTGAAGAACAGCTTGCCAACATCTCCACTGAAGAGCTTGGTGGTGAGTGAGTGAGTGTGTGTTTTGTTTGGATGGCTGCTATTTGTATCAGTTCTAAATGTTAAATTCTGAACTCTTTCATTTCATTCCAAACATGCATGCTGTTGTTATTTTATTAAACACACAAGGAAAAATGTGTCAATAAGTTTGTGCAGAACAAAAATCTATTTCTCTCCCGATCTCAAATCTTATTTTTCATTCTGCATATTTCTAGCATGAATTTTGCTTATGACACATGAAATAACCAAATGCCATTTTGGCATCAGTGATGTCATTTCTTGGCACAAGGCATCTAGTTGATTTTTGAATCTGAATGTGATCATACTTAAAGTCCCTGTGAACCGGAAGTTGCAAACGATTTTTCTCCAGTGCTGTGTGACGTATTTCCAAGTGAAACGGAATATTGAACAGAGGGCAGGGTTTTACTCTAGCGCTCCTCCTCTCCATCTCTCGCTCATAGCAAACTAACGGTTTGAGGGGAGTGGTTAAGCGTTTCCCCGCCCAAACTGTGAAACCTACGTCATCAGAAAAAGAAACCGTTCCAGACCGGAAGTAACTTTTCAGATTTTGATTAAAGATTACTAAGGTAAAACATTTTTTTAATATATATTCACTTGCACGGATTAATTGTTCACCACAAGACTAGTAATATGCGCTAACAAAGTAAATAGGTTCAATTTTGATTTCACGGGGACTTTAAGGAAGATTAGAACCATGTAACTATGGCTTCAGAAAACTTGGAGTACACTGTAAAAATGAATATGCTTTATCTAATCAATAGAATTGTGGCAACAGTTTACAAGCAATATTGTTAATTAAATTTAACAAATTAGAATTGAGTAATAATTAATCAAATTATTCCTTAAAAGTTAACCATTTAAAATGAGTAAAGTTTACACCAAAAAATGTAAAAAAAAAAAATCTCACTAACAGAGACGTCAAAGATTAATTGAGATTAATTAAGAACTATTTATTTTATATTGCCAACATAACCTAAAACAAACACCGATCACCATAATGGGGACTTCAATTTATGTTTTTTTGGTTGTTGTTGTAAGTTTTACTCATTTTAAAGGGTTAACTTTTAAGTAATTAATTTGATTATTACTCAATTCTAATTTGTTACATTTAATTAATAATATTGCTTGTAATCTGTTGCAAAAATTTTTTTGATTAGATAAAGCATATTAATTTTTACAGTGTATATTGTTTTTGAATTTTTGGGGAGTTTGACTCCCCCCTGGTCATTATTAACTGCTGTTTTATAAGAAAAAAAAACTTCAGATTGATTCTAAAACATCAATTTATCTTCATTATAAGCTTTTTCTGATAAACTACTTCCTCACTGTTTTTAATGTGGTCAGTTAATAAAGCTAAACAAATGAACCTGAGGGTTTACTCTCTCTTGTGCCTTCTGATGAACATTACAAACCCATTACAGATTCTGCCCCATACAGTCGAATGCAGCTGTAAGTTTCACTTCCTCGTCTTGTCTTGTATCGCATGTGTTAAGACACTGCCTTAGGTCACACAAGAAGAAAATTTATGGTCTGACTGGTGGATTTGAGTACAGTGGTTGATTTGTAATGATGTTTGAGCTGTGAAACTCTCAGATTGACTTAAAGCTTGCAGCACCTTCTTTTAAAATTAACTGAGAGATGTCCACAATGGGGTAAGAACTGTAAGTGGCAATTCAGTGGAGTAATGAGTCAATGACTTGGTCAACTTATCTGTTAACTCATATTAAATGAAATCTAGAACCTTTGGAATTTGGTATTTGGTACTAAATCTGGTACTAAGTCGCAAGTAATGAATTCATAGACAAATAACCTTGTAGGAAAGAGAGCGGTTTTGCTAATGGCAGAGGAATTAACCCACATGATCTGTTGAGTTTGACTTTACATTCCAGTGTTTGGGGTCCCAGAGACCCCCAATGGTATACGTTTAAAAATATCAAAAATGAACCTCTTAATATTTCTTAATTCCCAATTTTTTATGTACTTTTTGCTTTGTTTCGGTTTCCCTGTTCCGGTTTTGAGTTTCCTCGTTATCTCTGTATATTATATCTCTGTTTATAATTCCATGTCATTTAGGGGCCGTTTACGCCTCACCGTTTTCAACTAAAAACGTAAACCTTTTTATGTGTTTTGGACGTTCATTTACACGACAACAGCATTTTGGGGACCTGAAAAAACGCAAACTTTTGAAAATGATATTGTAATTGTCTCTGTGTAAACTACAAAAACCCGAATTTGTGAAAGCGATGATATCATGCGCATGCGTATTACATGTTCAGTCTATAGGCGTGTAGTGTTTCTTTACAATGTAACATCACCAACTTGCCTGGCATGGATAATACAAGCTGCTTTAGTCGTTGAGATCGTTTTTTCATGGATCCGTGTGAACTGGATCGTTTTGACAACGTTCATGTGTGTATGCGGAAAAACACAAAATCACTTTTTCTTTTTTTCATTTTTAGTAAATCATTGTCATGTAAAAATACCCTTAGTTTATCGTGGTCGTTTGCTAAGTGTAATAGACTGCTGGTTTGATTATCTCCTTCATGATCCTGGGACACATTATTATTGTATTTTCCGGAATTTTTGTGTGAAATGGGCTTCTGTAACATTTTTAATCATCATTACAACCATGCCCCTGACACTTTGTTGTTAGTAATGTTTTTTATTTATTTTAATTTGACCCTGGGAAAAAAAATCAATTTAATTTTATTTATTTTAATTTTTTATGTTCACTAAAAAAAAACAGAAGAGTGCCTTCTGTGTGAACACAATCACGTCCCGGGATTGGTCATTACATTGTAACATTGTATCAACATTCACTTTGCATATTAACTTAGTAAAAGTTTATGTTTGTCAAGGAACAAAGAAAAAGTTTTTGTTCGTCCTAGAGCAAAGGAAGAATGAAAATGTCTGGAAACACGTCACATCCTGATGTCACTTGTCTTTACGGGATCTGTGTGGGATGTATGTGAACGCATGCAAAGATTTCAGAAAAGTACTGGCAGTGTGAATGAACCAAAATCAAATGATCCTGGGACACATTATTAGTGTATTTTCTGGATTTTTTGTGTGAAATGGGCTTCTGTAACATTTTTAATTGTGGACATTTGAAGCATATTGTTAATTTTTGTTTATAATCAGTTCTCACAAGATTAAGCCCAAGATTAGTACAAAAAAGAAAGGTTTTAGGTTTTAAACTTTAATCATTCAGTCAAAGGATTTCTTCAAAACATCAGATCTCATTCAGTTGATCGGAAAAGCACAATGGCTCGACTGTGGATTTAATGCGAAATTGAGCAAAACTAGACAAGGAGCTAAGTCTAAAATGAAAGTCACATAACATTAACTTCTTGTTTATTCAACTGTTGTATAAAATCAATCACATCTGCAATCGTGCTTATATACGGGAAAACAGCAGAATATATTTTATAAGCAGTATTAAAAACAAGAACTCATACAGAGACATTTCTGCCACATATTTAATGATTTTGGGGGGCATTTTAATTATTTTTGGTGGCATTTTTGCCCCGTTGATTTCCATGATGGCAGGGGGTGGGGCTCTTTTTTGAGCACAAGCAGACGGAGGTCCCTTCTGTTGCAAGTGAAACGAATGAAACATAGCAAGGGCCCCTACTGTGAGGGTTAAGGATATTTGATCTAAAGCGGTGAAAAAACATTCAGGATTTGTGAAATGTAGGAAGCGCTCAGTTCAGCATATTACAAGACACACAGCACCTCAGCCTTTTTATCCCAGAATAACAGGTGGGTCTTTAAGGTGGCAGAAAAAGTGTAACACTCCTCAGAAATGATCTGAGATGCGTGTGTTATTTTTGTTGTTGCCATTTTCAACTTGGCGTGGGTTACTTAACCTGAGCCGAACTGAAAAACCAGCACTGATGCCCTTTGAAACGGTGGATAAACATTCACAGGACACTAAATATGCGCCTTTAAAAACCGAATGAGCTGCATTTAGTATGTCTGCTGTTTGTCTGATAGGACTCAAAGGATCTTACTGCTGAGAAAAACATGCATCGTATAATAAATAGTCTAATGATCACTGATGAAATGCACACGTTCAGCTGATTGACTTGAATCGCTTGAATTCTGAACGTCGGCTGAGTTATTTGTGATTATTTAACGTTCTGCACCCCATTTCGGTTTTTCTTTTTCCCTCCGCAGAGATTCGTGAGGCATTCCGAGTTCTAGACAGGGATGGGAATGGATTCATCTCGAAACAGGAGCTGGGTATGGCCATGCGGTCTCTGGGGTACATGCCCAGTGAGGTGGAGCTGGCTATTATCATGCAGAGACTGGATATGGATGGTGAGTCACTCTCTTTCTACATCTATCTTATTCTATGCTTCATTCTGAGCTAGCACCATTCACACAAACAAAAGAGCGTCTGCCTTCTGATCATCTGTAAAAACAGCTTTACAATCTGTCACAGACCCTTTCCAATCCTTGCACTAGAGACATATATGACCTTCTGAACAGTTCATGCTGAAGCAATCATAGAATTGAAGAATTTGTCCTGCACATGGAGCTGTAAATTGATGAATCCTGTGAGGTGAATTCTGAGAAACCTTTGTCTTACTGTGTGTGTGTCCGGCTCCGGGAGTCCCTCAAGGTCAGACCAGTTGAGAACATGCATTGATCCAGCTAATAAATTAGCATGAGAGTATTGTTCTTGATCCCTATATTTTTGTGCAAGTATGGTGTTTAATAAACCTCACACTATGAAGTGGTCTGGGGATATCTTTTACACCTCATAATATTAATTTTATTAGTTTAAGGTCACATTATAGACGTCACATCTATACTAAAATTCTAAGATAAAGTAAAAAAATATATATTTTACCTTAATGACTTCTATATAGTTTTCCTGGGTCAGCTTTAATCACAATTATATGACTAGTTGGGCACATTTAAGCTTTTTGACGCATTTAACTGATGCACATGCGTGGTAAAAATAAACGATGTGCAGCAGAAAACGTGGAGGGAAGCGTACCAACATTTTTGGGGACAGGGACACGTTTAATTACTGGAGTCGGTTCATCTCTGGTAAGATAGCAATTATGATGACAAGTGTGTTCATTAATTATTAGGGGTGCAACGGATCGCATTTGATCCGTGATCCGCATGGACCAGCTCCTACAGTTCGGCATGCATGTGATTCACAGATTAACTGCTGAGTTTAACTATCATAAAGTGGAAGTTTATCATTTGGACATGTTTTGTCTCGCCAATTTACACATTGAATGAATTTTATGCATGGAAGAAGAGGCGAAAATCGGGACTCACGTGTTGTTATCTGTGCAAAGCCTCACACACCCTAAGTGTGCACACGCAGAGAGAGAGAGAAAGATGGGCTCGAATAACAACAGCGCTCGGACAACGAATTAATTCCTCTTTTGTGTTTACTTGCACTTGAACATACACATACACACAAAATTATGTCAAAATACCTGTCTCGGCAAGTATTCTCTCAATTATGTCATAAGTGAACAATTGAGAAAGAAATCAGATGTGTGTCAGTGCATTCGGTCCTAAAGTGAAAGCAGACTAATATTCCTGCTGTTGTCTGTATCATTAATGTTAATAAAATAAAAAAAAATATCATCATCTACCATGTTTGAGAAAAAATCAGCTCAGGAGGAAAGTGATGACGACAGCTTGTAGGATAAGTGTGCCGCGAGTCCCAAGCAAGTGCTCCCTTGAGAACAGCCCAAAAAAAGTTGTGTAGTATCCAGTGCTGTACAGAATGCATATATTAAAGGAGTAGTTTACTTTTCAAAAAACTTTTGCTGATAATTTACTCACCCCCATGTCATCCAAGATGTCCATGTCTTTCTTTCTTCCGTCGAAAAGAAATTAAGGTTTTTGATGAAAACATTCCAGCATTTTTCTTCATATAATGGACCATATAATAGTGGTATTAAGACCCAGCTTTGTGGACTGATGAGCTCAAGTCATCACAGGTGCACTGCTGCTTTTCTCCAGTCGACAGCAATGTAATTATTACTTTCCTTTCATTTAAATGCTATAGGTCAGTTACAAAAAAAATACCTTGACTCCGTCATCATTTAACCCCAATACATCGTATTTTCATTGAAAAGTGCGCGGCCTCCTCATCTCTGCTGCCATTTTGTTACTCCTAACTAGGTTGGGATATCCCTTCAGCTCTCTTACATAATTTTGGAGCTGAGACCAAGTCTAAGTAACTTAGGAACCTTAATAAAATTAAGTCTTTTATAGAGTAAAATTTTAGTCTGAAGTCTTTTAAAAATCCTGAGTGGCTTTATACATACAGACCCAGATCTGCAGGCTGTTACTTAGTTCAAAGACCCTGATTTCATGGTTTCATTTAGCTGAGCAGCCCCAATAAAAGCCACATAATAAATCAATCTCATAGCAGTGTAGATCCTATTAGATTACAATTAAATTACTATTCTGTTCTGTAATACTCTATTCTTGAACTTTGTTCCTCACCAGCCTCAATGTAAAAAGTTTCAAGCGACAAGCAATTTGTCTTGTCCTGACTTAACTTGAATGTGAAATTGCTTTGCAACGTGACACAATTTCAACTAGTCAGAGGATTAGAAGACTGTTTCTGTTTGTGTTGCATTCAAAACTGCTTCAGTGATCTAGCAATGTATTTATATCATACTAAAACTAAAATGAGTCACTTTAAATGCTAATGTGAATTAAAGGAGTTGTTCACTTTCGAAAAAACTTTTGCTGATAATTTACTCACTCCCATGCCATCCAAGATATCCATGTCATTCTTTCTTCAGTCGAAAAGAAATTAAGGTTTTTAATGAAAACATTCCAGCATTTTTCTCCATATAATGGACTTCAGTGAGAACCAAACGGTTCAAGGTCCAAAAGACAGTTTCAGTACAAACTGCAAACTGTTCAAGGGCTTTAAACGATTTCAGACGATGTATAAGGGTGCACGTTCGTGACTCTCCTATTCGAACTTGTTCATCAAAATGAACAAATCTTTTTCATTGAATGAGCCAAATGACTTGGAAAAAGATTTGTTCATTTGGATGAACGAGTTCGAACAGGAGAGTCACAAACGTGCATCACAGTAAAGAGCAAGGCAAGCATTTGAGCTTATAAAACTAATTTTTTTTTTTTTAATTAAGCGATCGTTTCGCTTGATAAGACCCTTATTCAACGTCTGGAATCGTTTAAAGCCCTTTGAACAGTTTGCAGTTTGCAATGAAACTGTCTTTTGGACCGTTTGGTTCCCACTGAAGTCCATTATATATAATAATGTACTTCATACATTATATATAATAAGTAATAATGTACTTTATACAATATATATAATATATAAAGAAGTCTATTATATTTCTCCATATATGGAGAAAAATGCTGGAATGTTTTCATAAAAAACCTTGATTTCTTTTCAACTGAAGAAAGAAAGAAATGGACATCTTGGATGACATGGGAGTGAGTAAATTATCAGCAAAAGTTTTTTTGAAAAGTGAACTACTCCTTTAATGCATCACTACAGTATGAAAAATGGATATTCATTCTAAGACCTTTAAGTGAGCGCGAGATGACAGCAAAAGCAATACAGTTGTAAAAATAAAGGGAATGATAATGCACAATTGAATATCCTGCATCTCTATATATATTTTTAAATATGGGCAAATATGATAAAATATATATTTCAACTGAAAAGCAATATGGGACAGGCAATGAATGAAGATCCCTTTGTTTTACTTATAACCCTACTTATTTAGATTCTTTTTTTTTTTTTTAATTCTCTCTAATTCGAATCCGAATGTTCTCTTCTTGATGCAGGTGATGGACAGGTGGACTTTGATGAATTTATGACAATATTGGGACCTAAACTCGTTTCTTCTGAAACCAGAGAGGGCTTCTTAGGCAGCACTATAGACAGCATATTCTGGCAGGTATGGAAAACATTTCTTTCTAGATTTGAGTGTTCTCTTCTTTATTGTTTGCTTGTGCATTTGTGTTCTGAGCATATGGATAAGATTACGGGTCACGCTCTTCCCTCTCCGATTGCTTCCTCGGTCCCGTGACGACTGGTAAATGTGATTCTTCCCAGATTGCGGGCTTCAAAGTGAGCATCCAGATCTGTTCATTTCAAAGTGAACATTAGTTCAGTTTCACTTCCAAGAGATTTCTGTGAGCGTCGAGGAAGGCATATTAATTGAAAGATTTGCCACTTAAAAGGGAAGTATAGATCTTAGTCATCACAGGGATTTGGGCATCTTTTTTCACTTTCTCTCCTTAGGACTTCATCTCTGCCTTTATTAAATAAGAATTTAGACCTTCAAAATAGCTGACTTCCTGCCTTGAAGGAGCAGTGTTGAGTTTATATTTGCATGTTTATGTATGTGTAGCGTCTTTCCCTCACAGAGGAAGTGAGTAACAGCAAGGTCACAGACACTGGTTGTCTAGAAGGTGATTTAAATGCTCATCTCAACACACCTTTAGTGGGATACAGTGACTCATAACTGCAACGATAATCCATGTCATCACACCAGCATACCAAACACTCTCTCCCTCTCTGATGTTATTATGAGGCCAAGTATACAAGTCTAATAATGGCACAATGACAAAACCTCCTGGGAAATATTGTGTTTTGACAGAGCGGCTGTTATTGAGATCATTTCACATGTCTTTTGCATTGTTAAACAATTCAAATAAAGTTTAATCATTTTAAACTTTCTATTCACCAAAGAATGATTACAATTAATTATAGAAAGGTAGTAAAGACACCATTAAAATAGTCCATGTGACCACAGTGGTTAAAACTTAATTTTATGAATGGACGGGAATACTTTGTCCGCAAAAAAAACGAACAAAAACAAAAATAGCGACTGTATTCAACAACAAAAAACAAATGCGAATTAAGTGTGTGTCCATCACGTTGTCCGAGCGGATGATGGTGATATTGCCAACCAGGTAACCTACAGTAAATGAAATGCCATTAACGTAAACATATTAGCAGGCTCCTGAAGTGAACGCGGTGAGAGTTGGTTCCCTTCCGAGAGCCATTTTTCTAAGACAGAATTACATGATTATCCTTTCGTTACACTGCTCAGCCACACGTCAAATAGTCACTGTATGTGCATTATTTTGTGCGATCATGTGTGATGACTTTACCCTGCTTCTCTCAATTCGTCGCACGTATACAATATGCTATACATAGTGCTATACTATAAATGTGATGAAAAGATCATCCTACAAAGTAGCATTTGGGTGCATTTTAATAACCGAGACAACATAAAAGCAGAAAGTATAGCTCTCATTTGCTTGGAATGGTTTTATTTTGGATAGTTCGATTTAAATAAAATGTTCAATATACCTGTAATAGTGTTTTATGGATTTACATTAGCCTATACTTTTTTTTATCGCTTATTACTGAGCTGAGCTAGTAATAAGTGACGGAAGTCCCATCATGAGGAAACAGCCGATCAATCTTGAGGGTTTAATGTTCGCTATGTCAGAATTTATTCGGCAAATGCGTTTCCACCTCCCTTTATTTGTATTAACTCTTTTTTTTTCTTTTCAGTTTGATGTCGTTTATGTTGAAGTTGTTGTGTGATTCAATTTTTTTTTGATTCAAGTGATCTTACGTTTTTGGACTTGATCATTAGACTGTTTTGCTGATATATCCTTTGCCATAATGTGCTTTATTACAGCTACCCATTACAATAAATGTTTTTAATAAAATGTATTTAAAATATATAAAAAATTACTACAAAATGAATAATTATGTTTACTAATTGTAGTAATACAAAGTATTAATAATAAATAACTTAAGACAATAGATACATTAAAGATTTAAATAAGCATTTCTCAATTTAGAGTACAACATTTCAACAGGTCTACTTTTATCTTATGAAATGTCAAGTTCATGCTTTAAATGTCAAGTGCATCTTTGCAGGCATTACATGTAGACTCCTGTCAAATATATTACAAGTTATGTGTATCATAACCTGCTCTAATAAATATTAACACACCTTTGACATTGTCAATGTCTTTGACATTGAGGTATGGTTGTGCTGGTCTCTATGTAAAGTGTCACACAAAGTGCATTGCAGCCAGACCTATCCCAAAAGCGATTTCTTTTTAAATCTAAATCTAAGCTGTAGATGTGAAGTCGTGCAGCAGTCAGAAGAAAGTTAGCTCTTATCTGTCAGCAAAAAGAAATTGTATATGTGCTCATCAGGGTGTCATCTCAGTTCGAATTTGCATGCCAAGAACCTCGAGGCCTTTGTGTAACATGATTCATGAAAGACTGATCACTTATTAGTGGGAGATGTTTACAAATTTTCTTAAATTGTCAATGGGGACATCAGACACAAGAACTACAGGCTATAATGGATTATTAGAAACACATTGGCATAAACAAGCTTGTTTTCCCTACCCTGAGGAGTACAAACCTGAGGATTGTACTGTAGAGTTGCTGCCAACAGCCCAATTTTGACAGTGGAAATGATTTGAGACAAACACGGCAGTCAGCATTAACCAATCTCACTAGCAACACATTCTAGCCGTCTGTGATGTATAATTTATATTTGCCAAACATCCCTACTCCATGGATGCTGGTCAGTCATCAACATCAGTTGCTTTAAATTATGTAGTTTACCTCTATTGTCTTGCATTGCATTACAAGTGCATTTAAATATTTTTGAATCTATAGAATTTTAACATGTGTATCTTTTTTATATACTCTACCATTCAAATGTTTGAGGATAGTAACAGCATATTCTTTTAATGTTTTTGAAATCTCTTATGCACATCAAGCTGCATTTATTTGATTAAAATACAGTAAAAAAAGTAATATTGTGAAAAATTATTACAATATTTATATTCTTTTATTTATTAATTTATTTCCTTCATTGGCAAATAAATTGCTCAATTGTTTTTGTTCAATTGTGATTAATTAACTGAATGAGTAAGTTTGACACAGTTCACATTTCCAATCACATATGATTTCCATTTTTCACTTGTATAATTCAGTTTTGATAATCTTGATTCATTAATATCTGATAACAACATTATCTGAGCGGAAGATACAAATATCAGAGCAAATGTAAAACTTACTTGATGTTGTATGTATGTAATTCCCAAAATTCATGGAACTTCTATGGTTCATCATGAATATTTATTAGGTAATTTCAGACCAAGCGAATTATTATTCATGGTCTTTTCTCCCTAGACTTTGAGCTGGTAAACATGTCCAAATAAAAAACCTTAAGTGGATAGTATTTGGTCTATAAGTTGATTGGGCTATAATGTCCTGAAAGCATGGTGTCCTCGTGGATTAATTGGTCTCTCTTCTGTTCTGAAATCTGAGAGAGATTTTTTTAGACAGATAAGATGACAGAAAGTTGAGGGAGTGGGTGTATAAACAGTGACAGAACAGAAATAGATTGAGAGTGAAACTAAGAGAAATATGAAAAATGCACTGAGCCCAAATTAAAGGAGCTTTCGGGAGTATCCCCAACAGTCACCACAGCGTTAGTGTCTTTCTTTCCAACTCGCCACAGCTGACAACTCAATTAAGCCGTAAATCAGCCCGGTACTGTCCTCCTCCATGTCCAGCCCAGATGAATGACACCAGCATCTATCTACTATTGTCTGCTTGTATAGCCAGCGGCATTAATGCTATCGAGCCATAGTTGTCTGCTAGTAAACTAAACCCCTCTGTGAAGGCATTTAGACAAGGCAGCATGACAAACTCAGCAGGACTGGAATCACAAATATTTACTTTTAAAAAGCCATATGTTGCTGACAAGGTAGATTACCACAATAGGCAGTGAATTTAAAATACTGCAAGCTGTCACACATTAATGACACACATTAGCCACCAATTTATATATAATATGTGAATACTTTCCGGATGCACTGTATATGATTTTTTAAAATGTTTGATGTCATTACTGTAAAGGTTACTGTAAAGCTGCGTCTTAGTCTTGGCGAAAGCCGAGTACAAATCAGCATGAAGTTTTTAACATCTACCGTACTCTTGTATAATGGAAATCACACAGGCTCATTAAAATTTGACAATAGAAGACTGGAAAAACATTGCCTGGTCTGATGAATCTCTATTTCTGCTGCAACATTAATTTGGTAGGTTCAAAACTTTGTGTAAAAAAACATGAAAGCATAGATCCTTGTGTAAACGGTTCAGGCTGGTGTTTTAATGGTGTGTTGGATATTTTCTTGGCACACTTGGGGCCTTTTAGTACCAATTGAGCATCGTTTAAAATGCCACAGTCTACCTGAGTACTGTTGCTGGCCATGTTCATCCCTTTATGACCACAGTGTAACTGTCTTCTGATGAATTCGTTCAGCAGTAAAAAGCTCAAATCACCTGAAACTGGTTTCTTGAACACGGTAATGACTTCATTATACTCAAATGGCCTCCACAGTCACCAGATCTCAATCCAATAGAGCACCTTTGGGATGTGGTGGAATGGAAACATTATGGGTGTGCACCCAACAAATCAGCAGCAACTGCGTGATGCTATCGTGGTAATAAGGACCAAAATATCCGAGGAATGTTTCCAGCACCTTGTTGTATCTATGTCACAAATAATTAAGGCAGTTTTAAAGGCAAAAGTGGGTCCAACCTGGTACCTAATAAAGGGGCTGGTAAGTGTACTATAAACTATATTGTTTTATAGATAGATGGGGTGGGTGTTGTTTCTAAAGCTGGATAAACCTGATGGGCTGCTCAACTGGTCATAGCTTTTCAAAATCTGATTACAGAAGAAATGCATTGCTGGTAAAATACAAAAATTTTAATTCAACAAGGAATCTGCTTTTTGTGGCTAAAAATAACATTCTGGAGAGGAAAGCATTTTTGAATATAAAATGCATCAGGGCATAACATATAATTTCATGATTAAGATTAATGACTGCCAATGCT